CAAGTCTGAGGCTGCGGAAGGAGGAAGCCGGAGAGACGGTGGCCGTCACCAGGACCAGGAGGTTCAGACAAGAAGCTGAAACTGTGCGAGAAACTTGCTGACAGGATGAGGCGGGCATGGCAACGCACACCTGCCTTCTTGGCAGGCTGCAGGAGGACTGCAAATTCAAGCCGAGCCTCAGCAATTTAGCGAGGCTCCGCCTAAAAATAAAAGTAACTTTTAAAAATTGTTTTAAAGGGCTGAGGAGGGTATGCAAGAGCCGTGGGTTCAATCTCCAGTGACCAAAAAATAAGAAAAATGAAAAACTTAAAAAATGCTAAAAAGGCAAAATGTTCCCATTTTTAATTAGATTACTAAATAACTCTTTTTATAACTTTGTGGTGTTGATTCAACAAACCAAATGACAGAGAACAGAAAACTGAAACTATGTCAAAAGTTAATTTTTAATAACAATCTCCTAAACAGTTTTCATCAGTCCAGGGAGCCTGCTGACAAAAGGGTATTTACGCTGCACTGGACAGCAGATTCCAGCTGGACTGCAGCGTTCAGCAAGGAAATCAAACAAGCAATGGAAACTGTAGAAACAGAGAACTTGGCCCATATACTGGATTACAACTACCATCCCAACTACTAGGGAGGCTGATGCAGGAGGATCACTGTGAGTTCAAGGGAAGCCTAGGGTACATAGTGAGTTCAAGGCCAGTCTGTCTTTACACAAAACAGGGCCTCGGATTTAGCTCAGCAGCACAAGGACCTGCCTGACAAGCAAGGTTATGAGTTTGAACCCTGTCCAAAAAAACCCAAAACAACAAGAAAACACAATGCCATCACAAAACATAGATTCCAAATAGTAATATTAAAAAATGAAAGCAAAAAATATATAAAATGAAAAATTTTAAGTGTGTGCATATTTTTTCTCTAAGGGATGTAAACATGTATCAAAACACCACCCCTTGGGTTGGGGATTTAGCTCAGCAGCATAAGCACCTGCCTGGCAAGCAGGAGGTCATGAGTTTGATCCCCTATACCAAAAAAAAAAAAAAAAAAAAGAAAAGAAAAGAAAAGAAAAACTCGACCCCTCCTCAGAATGTGGTACAACCTCTCTGGCAGTGGTGCTGGTGGAACATTTACCTTAGCATCCAAGTGGCTCCCAAATTTGTGCAAGGTGCCACAGCAGGAGGCCGGAAGCTCATCAAGCCCAGCCTTGGCAAGTTAGCAAGACCCTGTCCTAGGGTCTTAAAAGGGCTGGGCTTGTGGCCCACTGTTATAGCCCGGGGCTCAGCACAGGACACACATGTTGTACATACATAACCACACTTACTGTGTACACAGAATTACAGCTGGGCCCTCACACTTGTGTGTTGGGGCGGCGAGAGAACTAGAACCAAAGCCAGGGCTTTGTGTGCACCAGGCCAGCACCCTGCTACCTGGACTCTGAGCCACAACGCAGCCCTTTACTTTAAGACAGGGGCCAGGACTAGGGATATGTCTCGGTGGAGCAGCGGCTTCCTGGCAAGCACAAGGCCATGAGTTTGATTCCAAGAAAAGACAAGACACAGGGACCTCCTAAGACAATAAATTGCCCAGGCCGGACTCAAACTTGAGATCCTCCTGCCTCAGTGTTCCAGGGCGCCAGGGTGACAGGTGTACACCACAGTGCCTGGCTGGATCCACCTACCTCTCTCTTCCTCCTCTTCCTCCCAGTCTCTTCTTCACTCCTTGATCTCCGGCCCAGCCCTACAGTCTGCCTGCTCTACCCACTTCCTCACTTGATTTTCTCACCCCCAGATCAACTCGGGCAGAGCTCCACTGCCCTCTGCCTCTGTCCAGGAGAACTCAGGACTGTCCCCCAAGCATGGCCAGGCCAGCCCAGCTGGCCGCACCCTACACCAGTGACCTCCCCCTCCTCTCGCCCCCTGGCCATGGAAATAGAAGCCACCAGGTGCAGCTACCAGTGCTGTGCCGCCCTAGCATCTACGCCTCCTGCCTCTTCCTGGGGTGGGGGTATGGGGGAGGTTTCTTTCCTGCAGTTAATCCCTGGGCCCCAGCTGCATCCCAACAGCTCCTGCTCCCAGGGCCCTCATAGTGGGCCTCCCAACCTCCGCATCACATAGTGGCATCTGCTCTGCTCTGGGAGCCTGGGCCCCTCTCTCCTTCACCACAGGGCTGCTTCTTAGCCTTTTCAAACCAGAGCTGTCTTTGCCTTTGGTGAAAAGTGACCTTCGGATTTAGAAAAAAATACACACAGGGTTACTTGGGGCTTGGTGGGCTGAAATAGAGTTGTGACAGCTGGGCCTGATGGCGCACACTTGTGATCCCAGCACCCGGGAAACAGAGGCAGGAGAATCTCTGGAAGTTGGGAGACCAGCCTGGGTCACATAGTGAGTTCAAGGCCTGAACAGCATAGCAAGACCTGTCTCAAAAAATAGAGAGAAAGTAAGGCAGGAAACACCAGACCAACAGAGTGGCAGGCAGTTTAACTGTCAGGTCTCTGGGCAGTCTCCAGGTCCCAGCCAGCCATGGCCACCAGCCCTGCAGGAGCCACACTGTGGGCGACTCCTGAATCTTCCCTGAAATGGCACCACCACAGCTAGGGGAGGCTGAGACCTGGAGGGCAGCCAGGTGGTCTTTAGAAAGACAGAAAGGAAGACAAAGCCCTTCCGGGCTGACTCGGCTGCAGCTCCTCTGCAGCAAGTCCCAGAGAAGGAACACAGGAGGGGACAGTCCAGGAGCTGGCAGGGACCAGTCCAGGAAGGGAAGCCATGAGACTCCACAGTCAGCAGGGGGCAGCTTGCTGTCCAGATGGAAAGAATAAAGTGGGTCTCCAGTGTGCAGCAGCCTCCAGATAACTTCCAGATGAGTGGAAGACCAGGGAACCAGCAATGCCAGCTTGGGCTAAGCTGGGAAAAGTGAGGGAGGCTGGCGGCTGGGGGACAGGCGAAGGTCTCCTCCACAAGATAGAAAAGATAAGATGGAAGCTGGGTGAGGCAGCACATGCCTGTCCACCAAGTACTCTGGAGGCTGAGGCAGGAGGATCACCAGCAGTTCAAGGCCAGCCTGGACTACATAGTGAGGCCCTGTCTCAAAAAAAATTTTTTTTGTCCAGTTGTGATGACAAATGAAGCTACTCCCCCCCCCCCTTTTTTTTTTGTTCTTGACCATTCTGGGCATCCCTTGAGAATTGCTTGCCTGTATGCTTTTCCCAGGGCTGGTGGAGTACATGCTTAACATATGCAAGGCCTTAGATTTGAATCCCAGCATTAAAAACAAAACAATAAAAACAGGTTAACATATTCCTAGCCTTTTTTTGTTTTGTTTTTTGGTTCGAGGCAGGGTCTTGCTATGTAGCACAGACTGGCTTTGAACTCCTGTCGATCCTCCCTCCTGCCTCTCAGCCCTCCAAGTGCTGGGATGACAGGCGTGTGTCACTACGTCCAGCTCTTCTCTGACATTATACTCTGTCTCCCATTTATTAAAATGGTTTTAAAATGAACCATAGTGAAAAACCCAGAATGCTGCCGTGTGTCTATCTGGGTGTGTATACACACGCTGGTGTGTGGTGCTGGGGTGGAACCCAGGGGCTCCTGACTGCTGAGCTACACACCCAGCCCTTGCTTATGGATTTTACAGTGCTGGGATTGAGCCCAGGCCTTCAAATTGAGCTGTGTACATCTCCAGATGTGTTCTCAGTTTTTAATTTTGAGATAAAGTCTCTCTGAGTTGCTAAGTTGCCCAGCCTAGGCTCCAGTTTGTGGTTCTCCCACCTCAATCTGCTGAGTAGCTCGGATGACAGATATGCACCCCCGCGCCTGGCTTTTAAATTCTCTGTGGTTTAAAGTAACATATAAATCACCATGAAATAACACTTTGCAACCATTAGAATGGCTATTAACAAAAACACACAAAGTTATTAATGCAGGTGTGGAATGGAATGAACCTTTCTGCATTACCAAAAGGAACGTAAACTTGTGCCCCTGTTGTGTGCGATAATTGATCAAAAACTGAAACAGCCAGTCTTGTGGAGCATGCCTGTCATCCCAGCACTCAGGAGGCTGAGGGCTGTCTCGAGTTCAAGGTCAGCCTGAAATACAGAAGAGGAAGAAGAAGAGGAGGAGGAGGAGGAGGAAGCAGAAGAAATATGGAAAAAAAAACCAGAATTGCCATACACGCCAGCATTCTGCTTCTGCGCATATGTCCAGAAGAACGAAAAGCGGAGACCCCAGTGGGTATTCATGACCTGCATCGGGAGCTGTCATTTACAGTAGCTAACCGAAGCTGGCATGGTGACACAGGGCTATAACCCCAGCACTTGGGAGACTGAGGCAGGAGTACTGCTGTGAGTTTGAGGTCAGCCTGGCCTCCGTAGTGGACTCTGCTCAAAAATAAATAAAGAACATAGTGGCCCAGGGGGGCTGGACATGAAAAGCCAGTAATCCCAGCACCAAGCGAGGCTGAGGCTGGAGGGTCAAAGTTCAAGTCTTGCCAGGGCAACTGAGTGCCTGAGACCCTGCTTCAAATTACAAAATAAAACGCTAGTGGTGTAACTTCACAGAATATTACCCAGCCTTCAAAAAGCAACCTTGACGCAAGTTATCAAACGCAGGAACCCTGGGATTCTACGCTAAGGGAAAGAGAACACACACATGACTGCTGGAGTCAGGCTGAGACCAGAGCTCTGGTGGCCGGGGGCTGTGAAGAGCGACAGAAAGCGATCCTCAGGGAGCCCCAAAGTTTCTCTGCGGGAGCTGACAGAGTGATTTAGAGCAACGCGTGAGGTCCTCCATGCCATAGAACTGAGGGCTTCCGAGCGGTTACACAGGTAAAGCTTGTGCTTCGTGCACTGTGGCACCACGGACAAACCAGAGAGCCCAAGGAAGGAAGCTGGCCGGGCAGCAGGGGGGCCCTCTGGTCTCACAGGTGGCCGCACAGGCCCTAACTTCCCCGCGCAGGCGCAGAACGGACCGGGGTGGGGGTGGGGCGAGGTGGTCGCGCCTCTCTGCGCCTGCGCGAGCCCAGCAGCGCTCCTGGGGAAAAGATGCCGCCAGGGTTGGACCAAGCGGTTGGGTGGCGGGGCCTGCACTGCACACGCGCAGACCTGACCCCGCGTCTCCGGCCCGCAGCGTGCTTCCCGGGCGGGCGCCGCCGCAATGCCCCGGGAGATCATCACCTTGCAGCTGGGCCAGTGTGGCAACCAGAGTGAGCTCCGGCCCGGGCTCCGGGGGGCGCGCGGGCGCGGGTCCCTGGGCTCCAGGCCGTGACCCCGCTCTGCCCCGCAGTCGGCTTCGAGTTCTGGAAGCAGCTGTGCGCCGAGCATGGCATCAGCCCCGAGGGCATCGTGGAGGAGTTCGCCACCGAGGGCACCGACCGCAAGGACGTCTTCTTCTACCAGGTGCCCGCGCGGGCGGCGGGTGGGGCTGGGCGTGGACCCTGAGTGACCCCCAGCGTCCCCGGCCCCGCAGGCGGACGACGAGCACTACATCCCGCGGGCAGTGCTGCTGGACCTGGAGCCCCGAGTCATCCACTCAATCCTGAACTCCGCCTACGCCAAGCTCTATAACCCCGAGAACATCTACCTGGCCGAGCACGGCGGCGGCGCCGGCAACAACTGGGCCCGGGGCTTCTCGCAGGTATCCGCCCGCGACTCGGCCACTTGGACACTCAGTCTGGCCCGAGCCAGCAGAGGGAAGCCGAGGGGCTGGGCAGGGTCCCTGCAGGCCCTGCATGAAGAAGTGATCCTCGTTGAGGGCTGCACTGAGGTCACTTTGGGGGCAACAGTGTCTGGGGGGGGGAGCCCTAAAGAGAGCCCGCTCACCCCATCCTCCTTCTGTCTCCCTAAGGGGGAGAAGATCCATGAGGACATCTTTGACATCATAGACCGAGAGGCAGATGGCAGTGATAGTCTGGAGGTGAGGTTCTCTCCCCCCGGGATGTCAGGGAAGACAGGCTAAAGAGTGCTGGTGGCCTGGATCGGTGATTGAAGGGGCAACTCAATTCAAAACCTGTGTTTTAAGCTGGGATGTGGTAGTGCAGGCCTCTAACCTCAGCACTCTGGGAGGCTGAGGGAATAGAACTGCAAGTTTGAGCTGCCACCCACCCCTTGGCCTGTCTGAAAAAAAAAAAAGGCCTGAAGAGGTAGCTCCATGCAAAAACCCTGGGTTCAATCCACAGTACTAAAGATGGCTAGATAGATAGATGGATAGATACACAGATGAACAGACAGGCAGGATGTGGTGGTGCAGGCCTGTGGTCCTATCACTTGGGAGGCTGAGGCAGGAGGACTACAAGTTTGGGCCCATCTTGGACAACATCCATTTAGTAGACCCTGTCTCAAAATAAAAAATAAAAAAAGGAAGATCCCAGACTCAATTCCCAGTAAGGAAAAAAAAAATCAATCAGTCACTCAGTGAACACAGGATGCGTCTGAAGCTCACTCAGCGTGGCATAGCCAGGTAGGGAAGGTCATGACCTGGGTGGTGGCGGGTGGCTCCTGAGATGTGAGTCATTTGCCATTGCCTGGCTCTGGACCGACCTAGGAGCTTCTGGCGTGGGTGGACACAGGAAGTTGCAGGCGGGTGTGGGCCATGGGGCCGGGATGCCCTGAGCTCCCCAGCTCCCCATGCTGTCCCTGCATCTGTCCCACGCAGGGCTTCGTGCTATGTCACTCCATCGCAGGGGGCACGGGCTCTGGTCTGGGCTCCTACCTCCTGGAGCGGCTGAATGACAGGTAAGCCCACGCTGGGGGACCCCAGGTCCCCTGGGAATGGTTGTGTCATCCTTTTTCTCTTGCACAAGAAGGGCTGCCACCTCCTCCTGAGCCACAGGGGCACACAGCAGGGTGCATCCAGGAAGCAGAAGCCCAAGGAATGAGAGAGCACTGGGGGGCCGCCTGGGCACCGTGACTGCCCCTGCTCCCTTCCACCCTCATTCCTTGCCAGGAAAAATATGGGGTCCATCTGGTCACAATGCACTGCACCCCTTTTCTCCTCCTCACCCCCAGGTACCCCAAGAAGCTGGTACAGACGTACTCAGTGTTCCCCAGCCAGGATGAGATGAGTGACGTGGTGGTGCAGCCCTACAACTCCCTGCTCACACTCAAGCGACTCACACAGAACGCAGACTGCGTGGTGAGGGCCAGGAGGGGCGGGCCGGGCCGGGCCTGGTCCCCTAGCCGCATCCCACCCAGAGAAATTAGGTCCTGACCTCCAGGTGACTCCTGTCCGCCCCTGAAGGCAGCAGGACTCAACACAGCGGCTGCACCCTATCCCATCTGTTTGAGCTCTCAAGTTGGGGTCACTGTTTTAGCAAATTCTCCCGTTAATACTAGAGACTTTGTATGTGTTTCAGATTGTTAAATACCCTTTTTCTTTCTGGACACAGCATCTTGCTAATGTGGTTCAGGCTGGCCTTGAACTAAGTAGCCTTAGTTGGTGTTGTACTCCAGGTGATCCTCCTGCCTCAGCCTCCTGAGTGGTAGGATGACAGCCTATTGACACTACACTCAGCCAAATACAATTTTCTGATTGACTGGTTCCAGGTTCCGGTGCAGGGGTTTGAAGTCAGGGCTCAAGCTTGCTAAGCACATATAGTGCCGTCTCAGCTGCCCCAGCCTGGCTGTATTTAGTGACCGTCCCTCCACCGGCTTAGGGTAGAGAGAAGGCACAGTGGGGCATCCTGGACAGACTTGCTGATTGTCCATGTATCCAAAAGGAGCTCTGCTGCCCGGGATGTACTTTGCTTTTCAAGGGGACAGGTCTACTTCCAGGGTTCCAAGCTAGTGGAGGCCAAGGTGCAGCTTCTGTGTGGGTCCCCTTCCTCCTCCAAGGGCTGTGGCCTCCTCTGTCCCCAGGTGGTGCTGGACAACACAGCACTCAACCGGATCGCCACGGACCGCCTGCATATCCAGAACCCGTCCTTCTCCCAGATCAACCAGCTGGTGAGCCGACTCAGCCCCCACACTGGGCACCCCCACACTACGGCCAGCTGGGAGGTGGGTCCCCCAGACCAGCCGTGATACTGCCCCGCCCCAGGTGTCCACCATCATGTCAGCCAGCACCACCACCCTGCGCTACCCTGGCTACATGAACAACGACCTCATCGGCCTCATCGCTTCCCTCATCCCCACACCGAGGCTGCACTTCCTCATGACCGGCTACACCCCGCTCACCACGGACCAGTCGGTGAGCGTGGCCACCGCTTCTGGGTCTCCAGCCCCACTCTGTGCCAGGGCAGGGGTTGTTGAGCTGCGGGCGAGGGCCTGAGTTCTATAGCAGAGACCTGGGGCAGAGGGGACCCAGGGAGCCACCCTGTGCTGGGGCCTCAGTGCCACCTGGAGCCCTGCACCCCCACTCCCCCTCAGGTGGCCAGCGTGAGGAAAACCACGGTGCTGGATGTCATGCGGCGGCTGCTGCAGCCCAAGAATGTGATGGTGTCCACGGGCCGGGACCGCCAGACCAACCACTGTTATATCGCCATCCTCAACATCATCCAGGGCGAGGTGGACCCCACGCAGGTAGGCGCGGCCCGGGCCCCTCCTGGCCATGGGCCTGGGAGAGGAGGCCGCAAGCGTCCCCCTCCCTGTGCCTGGCCAGGTGCACAAGAGCCTGCAGAGGATCCGAGAGCGCAAGTTGGCCAACTTCATCCCCTGGGGCCCAGCCAGCATCCAGGTGGCGCTGTCCAGGAAGTCGCCATACCTGCCATCTGCCCACCGGGTCAGCGGGCTCATGATGGCCAACCACACCAGCATCTCCTCGGTGAGCCCGCCTGCATGTACCGACCCATTCCTCTTCCCTTGGCCTGTGTGTCACCCCTGGCTCTTGCAGCTCTTTGAAAGCTCCTGCCAGCAGTATGACAAGCTGCGGAAGCGGGGCGCCTTCCTGGAACAGTTCCGAAAAGAGGACATCTTCAAGGACAACTTCGACGAGATGGAGCGGTCCAGGGAAGTGGTGCAGGAGCTGATTGATGAGTACCACGCGGCCACACGGCCCGACTACATCTCCTGGGGCACCCAAGAGCAGTGAGCCCTGCTCCACAGGATACACAGCCCCCCAAGGGGTCCCCAGCCCTGCATTCCTGCCCAATCTTCAGGTCCATGCACAGCCCTGGAAGGGGCCCCACCATCTGGCTTCTGTTCTCAGCCCTTGATGTGTTTGTTCTGTTCTAATAAAATAATAAAGCTTGGTGATGAGAGTCAGGTTCAATAGTTGGTGTTTTTTTTTTTTTTTTTTTTTTGAGATGGTGTCACTCTGTAGCCCAAGCTGGTCTCAAACTTACAGCAATCCTCCTGCCTCAGCCTCCATAGTGCTGAGATAACAGGTGTGCATGCACCACCACGCCCACTGGGGTTTATCCTCTAGTCTGAGTGATGGTAAAGTGGCTCTGCTTTTCACCGTGTAGTCCTGGTCTTACTCTGTCTATACTGGCTTGGGAGTCCCCTACTCTGAAGCAGCCTTGATTCCCCGGAGTGAGCCTTTCTCTGTGGATTTGGTAGTGGCTCCTCTGTGCCTCAGCTTCCAGCCCAAGTTGGCCAGTGTCACTCAAGGGCCTTCCACTGGGGATTGATGGTGTGGCATCCGCATGAGCTGGGCCCTGGCCTGCAACTTCCAAGACTGTCAGAGCTAAGCTCAACTGGGCCTGGGAGTGGCTGAGTGGAGCAGGCCCCCACTTCCACTCTCCGGGAAGTTCCTGGCTCTCCTGCCTGGTGTCTCTGTGTGCCACCCAAAGCAGTGGGCACAGCAAAGGTGGACCCACACAGCGCCCAGGGTCCAGACACCAAGGTAGGACCTGGCCAGTCTTGACTCAGGGATGCCAGGAGGCCACCCCTACACCCCTAGGAGGAGAGGCTGAGTAATCCCAGCTCTCGCACCCTCTGGCCTGCATGCCCCAGCCCTAGGACTTGGGCTGCAGAGAGGTAGGGCACAGCCCCGGGAGGGGGGTATCCGAGGCCTGCAGAAACACCCCCCCCCCCCGCTCACCAAAGGCCAGGCCCCAATGTGGGTGTCCAGGGTGGGGCCGGCCTTGGCCCCCAACACCCCCACAACAAAGGTTTGTGTAAATAAGTTTCTCTTTCATTTCTGTTCTACAAATAAATTAAGAAACAAACTAGAAAAGTGCCCACACCCAACACAGTCCTGGGAGTGGGGGTGTGCCCTGTCCCTGCAGGGCCAAAGGGGTCCAGGTCTCTCGGGTCCCAGGGCAGCCCTGGCCCAGCCGAGGCAACAAGAAGCTGTGACCTTTTGGCAGCTCAGTCCTGCAGCTGCCCCAGGCAGCCAGACTGTCCCTGGGACTGGTCCAGACCCCGAGCAGGGCCAGGAGGGGCAGTGTCTGGCTGTTCTTGGCAGGGAGGCCTCTCCAAGGCGGGGGTGGCCAAGCAGACATTCACCAGCTGCATGATCTCCTCCACCTAAGGGAGAACAGAGTCTGTGCTCACAGAGCCCCGGCTTCACTTTTCTCGTCCTCTCCCTCACCTAGTGCTCCAGCTTCCCCTCTCTGCAGCTGTCTCACCTCTCTCTCCTGGGCCCACTTCCAGCCAGTCATTCTAGCTTTTAAGATAGGCCCTCGATTTGCAACTCACACGAGTCTTCAGCTTGGGATCTTCCTGCCTCAGCTTCCCAAATGCTCGGATCACAGGTGTGTACCACCAGGTCCATCTCAGTTTCAGTCATCTTTATTCCTAATTTACTTTTCTGCTCTCCAGCTTGCATTTGGTCATAGCCAGGTCTCCCCCTGCCCCCAGGTTTGGGACTTCCCTTCCCTTCTCTTCCTGAACTCTACTCCCCACTCACCTGTGGGCTCTGCAGGAGCATTTGGCTGTCCCCGACCCTCAGCACCAGGGTGTGAGGGCCCATCAGCTGGCAGGCGGCCACGCAGCCATAGCTGACACGGTGGATGGGCTCCGTGTCTCCAGGCCTGGAGAGGGACAGGGCCGTGGCTCCCAGGCCCAAGCACAGCTTCTGTGGAGCGCCTCCACCAGGCTCCTGCGGAAAGCAGGGGCAGGGTCAGATCGGAGGAGGCCCCAGGTTCCTAGGGAGCAGGGAGTGGGTGGTGGTGGGGCGTACAGTGCAGTGCAAGGGGCAGGCCCTGGGCTGGGGCCAGCAGTGTATCCCAGGTCAGAGGGCAAAGGTGGTGCCCCGCGCGGCCTGGAGCTCTGAGTGGAGGTGTGGGGCTTGGGCCTCCAGAGTCCCCTTCTCCCGTCTCCCCCTCACCGTGCTCAGCTCCAGAACGTCATACCGAGCAGCGCCGAGCCCCGGATACTGCGCCGCCAGCGCCAGGTAAGCAGCCATGGCCTCGGCTCGGCCTAGGCCCCGCAGCCGCTTCCAGCCACCCAGTACTGTGGCCGCCGGGCGCGCGCCTCCCTCGCCTCTTCCTTCTCCTCCCGCGCGCACGCCTGCGCCCACGCTCCGCCGCGCCCCCCGCTCTGCACGCCTCGCGGTCCCGGCCAGCAGGGCGGAGGAAAGCGTGGAGGGGCGCGAAGGGCTAGGTGCGCGCGGGCCGAGGTCCCGGGGCGCGTTCTGCAGGCGCAGCGCCGCCAGGGCGCGCAGCGCGTCGTCGTCGGGCGGGGCCGGCCGGGCGCGCAGCAGCAGAGCATGTGCCTGCGAGGAGGACTAGCGTCAGTGCCACCCCCGCGTGCCCCGAGGGTTGCAGCAGTCAGTAACAGCCGGGGTACAAGTTTGGGGTGCCTGCTTAGAGACGCAGGTGCCCACGAGCCTCACCTGCTCAAAAAGGAACGGCATCTGGGGGCCTTCGGGGGACAGTCCTTCGGGGTGCAGAGGTCCGTGAAGGCGCAGGCACAATCTCCAGTCCGCGTCTGGCGACTCCAGCGGCCCGGCTGTCTCGGCCGCCAAACTGCGGGGGAGGAAAGGACGCGATGCTGGGCCGGGGGAGGGAACGGAGCGGCAATCAGCGAGCACGTGGTGAGCGCTCAGTCTCGGACGTGGCTAGGGGACCGCGGGATGCTGAGGAGCGGAGGGCGGGGCTGGGCATTTACTTCTCAAACCTGGTGAGCACGTCGGCCACGATGGTGCCCCCGGCCAGGGCGCGCTCCTGGGCCCCGCGCTGCTCGTACAGCGCGAACGCGTTGCGGCTCCTCGCCAAACCCAGCCGCCCGACCAGCTCCTGGGCCACCTGCAGGAGGAGCACAAAGCCGGGGGACCCTCAGATCCCGGGGAAGGGGCTCAGCCTGCTGGAGGAGGGGTCCATCCCTCACCAGCGCGCCCTCCGGTACTGAAATCCGAAGTCGGGCGCGGGACTGAGCAGCCCCGGGAGATTCGGGCTGAGAAGTGGGGTGGGTGAGGTGGAGTGGGAGAGGGGCCGGCCCTGGCCTCACCTCCCCCGCAGTAGTGTACGAGTCGATGGCCACCGGGCAGGCCCGGGCGCCAGGACAGTGGACGGTGCACAGCAGCTCCTGCCGCCGGCTCAGCGCAGCGATCTCCGCCAGCGACGGCACCAGCTCGCGGCCGCGCGTGCGGCCCAGCGCCTTGCGGATGAAGCGCGCGTACTCCGCCAGCTCGGAGTCCGGGAGCGCCCGCTCGGTCCTGGGTATGGAGGAGCCCAGACTCAGCCTCACAGGGCTCCTCTGCCCCCGCCCTTCTCTGCCCTGCCCTCCCCTCCCCTCCTCTCCTCTCCTCTCCCCTTTCCTCCCCTCCTTTCTCTTGTCCTCTCCTCTCTTCTCTCCTCACTCTCTCATTCTCTGGCCTTCTTGGGTCCGGCTCTCACTAACTTCTTCCATCCTCGTCCACTCAGTCCCTTGAAGGCAGCCTGAATGTCTGCGGACTGAATTAACTTCGCAAGTCTCCAGCGGTTCTCTCCTAGCTGCCCTCACCCACCTCTTCCTTGGAAAGTCTCTTGCTCGCCTCCCAAATCCTCAGTCCAGCTGCACTGCTAGTTTTCTAAGCCCTGGGCTGGCCGACCTCCCCAGGGAAGCAGCCTGCTAGGCTCCCGTGCCAGAGCCAGCAAGTGTCTTAGCTTCACAGCCCCACATCTGACAATGGGATGGGATTTTGTAATTCCCACCGCGGAGGTGGCTGTGTGCGTCGCAGCCCTGACCAGGCACGTCCCCTTGCTCTGCACCGCTGTCCTCCCCCTACCCCGTGGCTCCTTCACCTAGACCTGCGGCTGGTCTTCTCACCTCTCCAGGTGCCCCAGGAGATGACCCCGGACGGCGCCCCCAGGCCGGAAGGTGCAGCTCATGCAGGTGAGCAGCTGCCAGTAGCGCAGGGCCGCGGGGTCCTGTGCAGCAGGGAGCCCCGGGGGACCCGCGGGGCCTGAGGTCTGCTTAGCCAGCTGCAGGAAGAGCTCGTCTCGGAGCGCAGGCAGGTCCCGGCAGGTCTGCAGCACGCCCTGCATCAGGGGCCCAGGCCGCCGCGCCCCTTCCAGCGCCTGCAGCGCCAGGAACAGCCGCACTGCCTCCTCTCGTAGGGGTGCATAGCCGGGACCTATGGGGTGGTGGGGGCGGAGGGATGGTTGGGAGAGGGGACACAGAGCTGCGCCCTGGGGGGACTGCAGGCCGAGACAGGTCAGAAGGGTGGGATAAAGGGACGGGGTGGTGAGGAGGGGAGGGCAGAAGGACGGGGGAGTGAAGGGAAAGCCGTGGTCCCACAGAGCCGATTCTCAACCAGAGAACCCCTGGCAAGCCTGCGGGGAGCACGGAGGGCCTAGGTTCCAGCCCCAGGTCTGGCAGCCCATCAGTGAGAGCCGCTGCTAGGGCCAGAAAACAGGCTGGTCTGGGAGTCAGAAAACCCCTTAACCCTCTAGCTTTAGGACCTGGCCAGCCACTAGGACCCTTTGGGGAGAACTAGAGTGGGAAGAGGCTAGCAGTGTTCCCCAGAGTCACAGTGGTGTCTTTCCACCACCTGTACAATGGAGGAGGAGGAGGTGCTCTTAGTGCAGTGACAAGATCCCCGGTGTGGGGGTTCGCACCTGTGATCCCAGCACTCTGGGAGTGAGGCATGAGGACTGCAAGTTTGAGCCCCAGCTGGACAACTTAGGGAGACCTTTTCTTAAAATAAAGGGGGCAGGGACAGCTCAGTGTATAGCTCACCTGGGCTCAAACCCTGGAGCCACAACCACAATAAAAATAAGCATGCAATGAAAAAACACGAGTGTAAAAACTCTTGAAGGAATAGCAGTGGTCAGAGTGAACCCGTCAGAGGGGCTCACCACCTCTGGAGCCTCTTTCCACTCACACCTGCCTCCCTCTGCCCTGCCAGCTTCCAGTTTGGAAAGAGAGAGGCTTGGGGGCTCCATCCCCAGAGGAAGGCCCTGCCATCCAGGGCTGGTACTTGCCTCCCCACTGCCTGCCTGCCCACAGGCTAGGGGTCCTCACCTGGGGTGCCCCCTCCATAGGGCAGGGGCAGGAGTGGGGCATACAGGGCCCCACTGGTGTGCCTCAGAATGGGGTTCCTCCGGTAGATGAGGGCCACGGCCTCAGGGTCCCCGCAGCTCTCCTATAGGCCAGGAAGAAAAGAGTATAGTGACTCACCAGGAAGCCCAAGGAGCGTTCCTGCCTCACCAGCCCATCTCCGGGGTCCTCTTGCTCACCTCTATGTCCCGGAGCAGCAGCTGGGTGGGCGTCTCCAGGGGCACCTTGGAGGCGATCACTTCCCGCAAGGCTACCCCCCAGCGCTCTGCCTCGGCCTGGCGTGGGGAGCACAAGCGGAGGCTGTGTTTCCTGCCGGACACAGTCAGGGACCACAGACCTGGTGGGAAGGGAGGCACAAGGGGGGGCTCAGGACCAGCCTGTGCCCCCAGCACAGGCTGGGCTGGAGGGTCCTCGAGGCTCTCACCGGTCTCCTTGGGTCTGCGCTCGGGACCAGTGACTGAGCACAGGCTTGTGAGCACCAGGCTGCTGAGGTGCCGTGCGCCCTTCCCGCTGCCACTGAACTGGTCCAGGGAATCCCGCGTGAGCACGAACCAGGCCCGGCGCGGGGGCAGCCATGGCCGTGTCCCAGCCCGGCGGGGCTCTCGGTATAGCCAGCCTGGGGAGCAGAGGGCCAGTGGGTCGGCCCATCCGACCCGGAGTGGAGGGGCAGACCCCGGTACTCATTGGGGTTGGGGGGGCCTCACCTTGCACCACCAAGTCAGGGTTGTCCTCTTGCAGCCCCTTTTCTGAGATGAGACTTCGAGTCTCCTCCCAGCTCTGCAGCCTGAGGGGAGGAGAAGCAAAGGCCAGAGACACTGGCTGCTGGGCTCAGCTCGGCCTCCAGGGGGCTGCTCTGCAGGGGCTCCCCACAGCGCACAGGGGCTGCTCCCTAGCGGGGCTCCCCTCCTCCAGACTGTGGGAACCGTAGGGCCGTGCTGACCTTGCACCAAAAATAGCAAGGACCCCCCCCCTTCCTCCCCGCACCCCCGGCTGGACCGCCCCCGGGACCCCGGCCAAGCCACAGCGTCCGGGTGGTGAGGCCTCGCCTTATTGCACAACCACGGGAAGGCGGTAGTGGGGACAGGGTCCCGTGCTCCTGCCAGCTGCTGGGGTCACCTGCAGCCACCACCGAGGCGAAGCTCACCTGTCAGAGACCTGCCCACTCCTCCCGGGCTGAGTCAGCGTCACCTCCAGGGAACTCTGAGGAGAGAGGCAGATGTTTAGAGCCAGGGCCACCCTGCACAATGCCTGTGGCTGCAGTGCTCTGGACAGCGCCGCTCTGAGGCCTGAGGGCAGAGGAAAGGGGTCCAGATGGAGAAGCAGCTGAGCCCCGGGGTCACATGCCCCCCCCCCGGGGGGGGATCTCTGCCGCCTGCCACTGCCTCTGGAGATGCAGTCGGGGTGGTGGGTGGGGGGAGCACTGGGAGGGAGTCAGACACCGGGGACCCCAGACTCCACAGAGCACCAACTCCGGCCAGGACCGTGCAGAAATCCCATCTCTGCCCTTAGTTCCCCATCCTTGAACCAGAGAGGCAGATAGATAGTCCCTCTGGCTCTAGTGGCCACAGAGTCACTCCCTCTTGTCCTCTGGGGCACAAAGAGGAAAGAAAGAGGACGCTGGGTATGGGTACCAGGCTTTCTTCACCTGGGGCATCCAGCCCCCAGACTGGAGGTTGGGTGGGGACAAACAAGGCCAGGTGTACTTGGGGATTTGGGCTTTCAGTGTCACTCCCTGCTCACACCCTGCCTGGAACTCAGCTGCAGCCTGGGGTCAGAAAGGCCTCCAAGGTGATGAAAACCAAGCCAGGCAGGAATTGTGCCATGGTCTCATTGCACCCAGGCTGCTAAAGCCAGGAGGGGGAAACCGAGGAGGGGTAGGACACCTGTCCCCTGCTCCAGGGAGGGGGGGTGGAGGTGGAGTTCCATGAGGCAGGCCGTGTTGACTGACTGGCAGAGCAACCCTGACCAGCTGGGAACAGGGATACCCGAGTCCTGAGTCCTGTGCCCACCTTGGGAGCTGTGTCCTTGGTTTCAGGAGGCTGGGGCAGGGGTGGCAGCTGCACAACCGGGGCAGGTACTGACTGCCCCTTACACCAGCTCCCCTGGTCTCTGTCTGCTTTCCTCCTCTTCCCCTCTATATTTATCTGCCCTCAGCCTCGCCAGGTGCTGGCACCCGCCCAACCTGGGCACAGAGCCACCAAGCCTGCTGGGGACCCCCGATGGGGGAGGGGAGACAGGCCACAGGTCACTGGAGTCTGGTTGCCATGTAAGGGCCATGGGAGAGGATAAGCCAAGGGATGGTGGTCTCCCATGCCAACGTGTCTCAGTTTCCCCCAGGAGACAGCCAGAACCCAGCAACCAAAGTGTCCCTCACTGTTCAGTTGGGCATTTTCAGGGCACCTCACCAGTGAAGGCTGAGAGTTCTGTCCCCAGCGACAGGGCATCATAGCCCCCAGCTCCCCCTCCGTGGGGTCCTCGAAGCGAAGCAGACCCCCGTTTTTGGAGGCCGTACCGCCCTGGCCCACGTCCATGTCCACAAGGTGGGAGCTCCAGAATCTGGCTTCGCATTCGCCAAAGGGGAGTGCAGAGGACCCAGGCGATCGAGCCGCCCGGCCGGCCTCGCCACATTCCTTGGCGCTGGCGGAGGCGGAAGGAGACGGGATGGGACGCGGGCCCGGCGGGGAAGGCAGAGGCAGGACCAGGTCGGGCCACGCGCGACACCCCGCTGCCTCGGGCCCGGAGCAGGTGGACAGCGCCCGGGATTCGGCAGGGCCCACGGGCACCTCGCGAGTGGGGAGCTCTCCGCCCGCGTGCAGCGTTGAGCTCATCGCTGCGTTTGGCCAGAGTGGCAGCAGGGTCGGGCGCTCCTCGGGGCGCGCAGAGACGGAGCCCAGGCTCCCCAGTACTCACCCGCCCGCCGCCCATCGATCCGGGGGTCCGCAGCTCGAAGGTCTCCTCGTCCTCGTCTTCGTCCCCGTCCCCACTGAACTCGCCGTCGCCGTAGTCGCGATGTAGTAGGGTGAAGCCCCGACGGCAGCAGAGGAGCCACCACAGCCCCCCGGGGAGAGGCATCCGGGCGCGAGAGCCGAGGTCTCGGAACCTGCGGGACTTTGACGCGCGGGGGTACAAGGGGGCAGCGACGTCCAGCGCTCAGTCAGAGACCCCTAGGGGATGCAGGGGGCGCGGCGGGGGCCCGCAGAGGAAGAGGAGACGGTGTCCAGGCGGGGGGGGGGGGGACGCGGGGAGCGATGTCCGGCGCGGGGAAGTCGCGTCCGCTGTGGCGTCTCGCGCGGCGGGGGGCGCGTCTGGTGCGGTGGCCGAAGTGGCTGCGGTCCCGGCTCCGGGAGGGTTGCGTCCGGAGGGCGAGCAATGCCGGGGCCCGGGCAGCGCGCGCTGCGCTCCCTGCAGCCCCGGGACTTGCGCGCTGGGGGCGCGGGCGCAGCTAGGGACCCCGCCTCCAGCCCCCTCTTGTGCCCCCCCCCCAGCCTCTCCTTTCTCTCCTCCCTTCGGCCCGGGGCAGGGTCCACGTGTCGTCACCGTCTCCTGCGCCCAATCACTGCGCCTGGCGCCGAGAGCGGCCGCCAATCGCGGACGGAAAGCAGCGCGGGTTGCATCATGTGCTCCTGGCCCAGTGACAGCGGGGAGGGGCGGTGGCCGGGGGAGGGGCGGGCGCTACTGGCCAAGCCTCCTCCCCGAGGTCGGCGCGGGGTGCCAGTGACGTCACAGTAGCCCGCCTTAGTGCTAGGTTTTAACTCTCGGCGCCCCGACTGCAGGCCGAAACCCTCCTGAAAGGGAGTGGAGGAGGAAGTGCCTAGCTGGGGTTGGGGGAGGCCTGACGGCCAAGTCCGGGACCCTGCTGAGGCGAAGGGTCTCCGAAACAGGGAGGAGCCTTAACTACCGAGAGGGAGCCCAGACCGGCGCCGAGCTCAGCTTTGGGGACGACTCTGCACCCCAACTCCTGGAGTTGGAGTGTCTAGTTCCTAACTCTGAGTCACCTCACTTGGGGGTGAAGCTGAGACAAGGATTCGCAGAAGGTGCAGACCTAGTCCGAAAATGAAATCGAATTTATTTTTTGGTCAGTGTCTCTCCAGATGACGGACGTTTGCCGCCACGCCTGGTGGGGGATCGAGCTCTCTGAACTCGAATGGGGAGAATAGCTCGGCTTCTGAGGCACTCTGTGGTCTTCTCTAGGCAAGCAGCCAGCGGGTCCGGACAGGACGGGGTTAACCGAGGTGCCAGGCAGCCGGGGTGGGGACGAGCCACCACGGGAGGCGCCCGCGGCGCTGACTCAGCGGCGATCCCCGCGGTCTGCAGCAAGGGTTTCAGCCCGGCCCCCGGGCTCAGCGCGGGCCTCAGGCCACCCTTGGGTATCGGGCCCTGTACGCCACCGAGGCCTTGCGTGTCCACCGTCAGAGGCTGGCGGGAGCAGAGCGGTCGGGGAGGGGCTCACGCGTCCCCAGACCCCGGGCAACATCACGCCCTTCTCACCTCTAGATTCGGGCCGAAGCTGGGTCCAGCTTGGCTGGACCCAGCGACAACTGTCGCACGTGAGGACCACCCTGCCTGTAGTGATTGTGCAAAATAGACTCAGAATCCAAGGGGCCCTCCTGCCACTGTTCGTGCCCCAGGGTGGCCCTTGCTGAGGTTTCCCGGGGCTGGAGACCCTGGAGACCCGCGCTGTCTTCCCGTGTAGCCCCCAGCCCCTAGCCTGCAGGGAAGTTCTTTCCCACGTCTAACCCCCACCTGAGGGCCCAGGAAAGATGGGAGACGCAAACGCGTTCGCGCACACTCCAGCAAGCCCAGGACAACCCAACCCCTTTTTAGAAACTTGCAAATTGCAATTGTTCCGCCTCCCTGCGCGCTTGATTTTCCTCCAACGTGCAAGACTCCAAGGCGACTTTTTAAATGACTTGTTTTGTTTCCGTCAGAACTTCAGCAGGGCTTGTACCAAAGTGATCCAGTTTCCTGCCCCCACTGGGAACATCCCGCCCCTCACCCTCTGCGCCGCGGAGTCCGCTGGGAGCCCTGGAGGAGAGCCGGTTGTTAGAAAGCTCTCCTGAGGCGGCGGCGGCGGCGGCGGCGCCTGCTGCTGCTGCTGCTGCTGCTGCTGCCTGCTGCTGCTTCGGGAGGAGCCCCTCCCCTCGCGGCCTGGCAGCCTTTCCGCCTCAGCCTCACCTCTGCGGGTTAAGTCTGATGTCGAGGTGCCCAAGGTGTCTGCCAAAGCTTCAGCACACTCAGCAGCTCCGCCCACCTAGCCTGGCGCGCGGGGGTGCAGCCTAGTGCTCTGCTCTGCTGAGAATCACTTGAAAGTCGGTGGTGCAAAAATAGTAACAGCTACTGCTTGCGTCTCATTTCCACGTTATCGCTTTAATGCAGCAGCAGGCTCAGGGCCACACTTAAGTCCCCACCTCTGTCCCCGGAGTCCCCCCCCACGCACTCCCTTTCCCACCCACCCCGTGGCGGACATTCGCCCGCACCCCCCTGCGGCCCTAGCTATTCCAGGACAGATTGTGGGTCTCGGTGGGCGCAGAGCAGGAAGACAGGCGTGGCCGGCGGGGACAGCGACCGCGAGAGTGCGCGGGTCCACAGCCGGCGCCCTGCAGCAGCGCCCGCAGATCCTGGCGGAAGCGCAGGCCCAAAAAGGCGTAGAGTACGGGGTTGAGACCACAGCGCGCCAGGGCCAGGCCGCCGGTCACCAGCAATGCCAGGTCCTTGCGCTTGCTGGCCGGACAGCTGCGCTCGCGGGCGGCCAGCAGGTCGGTCGTGTCCAGCAGTAGAGCCAGGCTATAAGGCAGCTGCAACACCACGAAGGCCGCCACCAGGGCCACCACTACACGCAGCGCGCGCCGGCGCTCAGGCCCCCTGGCGGCCAGCAGCGTGCGGCCCAGGAGCGCATAGCAGGCAACCATGACGCCCAGCGGCAGCGCAAAGCCCAGGGCCACCTGCGCCACGGCGCTCGTCCCCTTCACCGTCTGCGCCAGACCCTCGGGGAGGACAAGGCGACAGCGCCGCCGGCCCTCGCGCGGCCCGTCCTGGCTGAAGAGCAGTGCGGGCAGCGCCAGGAGCAGCGCCAGCCCCCACACGGCGGCCGAGGCCCAGTGCGCGCGGCGGGACGCAGAGCGCCGAGGTCCCGTGGGGAGCGCACGCGCGATGGCCACGTAGCGGTCGGCGCTGATGCAGGCTAGGAACAGGAAGCCGGCGTGGGAGGAGGCTGCGTGGAGGCCAGAGATAGCGCGGCAGGTGGCACTGCCCAGGCTCCAGCCCTGCAGCACCCCCGCCGCCGCGAAGGGCAGGGTCAGGGCCAGCAGTAGGTCGGCCAGAGCCAGCTGCAGCAGGTGCGCCGCGGTGGGCGAGTGCGCTGCGCGCCGGGCAGCCAGGTGCGTGGCCAGGACCAAGCTGTTCCCCACCAGGCCCAGAAAGGCCACCGCCAGAGACACGCCGGGCTGGAAGGCACGGCCGAAGGCCTGGACGTCGGCCTTGGAGCAGAGCTCGGGCAGTGGCTCAGCTGAGTAGGCATCCTCCTCGTTCCCGGAGTAAGAGGCCCAGGACACCTGGGGAGGGGCAGTGAGAGCCGGACCTGAGAGATGCGCCCCTTCCTCCCTACATACGCCTGCCTCTGGGCGAGCCCTGCGACCCTGGCTGCGCACACAGGGAGAAACCCTCTAGGCACCTTTCTTCCCGGGGCACCCGGCTGCCTCCACTGTCAGCCTGCTGGTGACCTTGAGCGAGCCACTGCTCGTTCTGGCTTTTATCAGGAACCTTTCGAGGACCTAGAAGTCCTGTCCAGGCCTCTTGGCAAGGCTTGCAGCCAGGCACTTTTGAAATACTGGGCACGATGGCTCGAAGCCACCTGTAGACCAAGCGTTTGCAGTATTAATAAACTTAGCCGGCTGGTCACCTTGCAGCGCCCTCTTCTGGACAGACAGCCAGGTGCAGGCTGGCTTGGGTCTCGACTCAGGCCTCCAGCCAGTGTCGGGTGCGTGGCTGTCTCCTGCCTTTCCCTTCCCCACTGCACCCCACCACCTCACCAGCCAGCCAGGCCCGCCAGGGCTGTGCCTCAGCTCGAGCAGGTGAGGGGCACAGAGGCCTGCAGGGCCCCACCCTGCCCTGCCCCCACTCCCACCTGCTCCGCGGGCTCCGTCCCCATGTCTGGCTACCAGGGTTTCGGAGGTAGAGCCTCAGGGGTAGAGGTTAAATAACCAGTGGGGCAGGAAGGAAGGGGCGGGGAGAGGGGCCGGGTGGAGGGATTGGGGTCTGGCGCTCTGTGCACCCCGCGCCACTAGAATGCCTTCTTTTCACCCCAGTGGCAGCGGGAAAGGATGGGTGTGGGGATGTCGTCCTCTGCTAGGCACTCGGTTGGTCCTGGGTTTTTTGTTTTTTTGTTTTTTTTACTTTTCTGAGCCTCAGAGTCTTTTCCTCCATAGAGTGAAGTCAGGTAAAAATGCAGACCGCACGCGGGTGGGGAGGGGACCGCCCCTGGGATCACAGTGGCCCTAGGGGATGTTGGGTTCTGTCCCAGCCCTGCACAGCATCTCCAGGTGCCGCACTCCCTTACGCCTTTTCTTGGTTTTTTTCAGGTCATCACCCCGCTTTTGCCATCCCCCGGTCCAGTGGGGTGCTGTTATTTCCCGGCGGCTGGGGGGTGCTCTGTCCCCGCCCTGTCGCGTGGGGCTGAGGTACGCGCTTGCGCGAAGTGGGAAGGGGGAAGGGGGGAGCAAGAGAGAGGAGAGGGCAGGAGAGGAGAGGAGAGAGACGAGAGGAAGGGACGGACGGACGCAGAGGGGACAGCGCCCTGGTGCGACCCAGGGAGCAGAGCCGGGCGCTGGAGGCCGAGTGCGAGCCCGGCCCGGTCCACCTGACAAGATGCGTCTGCGGCTGCTCTGCGTCCTGCTTGCAGCCGCAGCCTCCACAGCTCGGGGCTGGGGCTACTGTGAGTGCCCGGCCGGGCGGGAGGAGCCGGAGCCCGGGCCTGCAGGGCGGGTCCCGTGCCGCAATGCGGCTGGGTGGTCGCGGTCCTTCCCCGCCCGCCACTGCCCGCGCTCCGCAATGCAGCTTGGAGGCCGCCGCATGCGCCCTGCGCTGGGCCGGGTTCTGAGCCGCCAGGACCCAGCGGCCTGCAGGAGTGTGAGGCAGGGATCCAAGGGCAGCCTGAGCGGAGGCAGGGGTGGTGACCCTGCAGGGTGCTGCTTCTGGCGGGCACTGGGGCCGGGCTTGGGGCTGCAGCTGGGGTGATGGCTGGGGTCCAGGCAGGAGCTGGGGATCCAGGTGGGGCAAAAGCTGGCGGTGGAGCCAGGGACCTGGTAGTGGGGCCAGAGCTGGAGCCGCTGGGGGCAGTGAGGACTGGCGTTTGGGGTGGTGCAGGTTTGGACATCCGGGAAGATAGGACTGGGGTGATGTCCCAGGCTGATTTGGGCTCTGGAAGGTGCTGAGGTGCTAGGTGGTGCTGGGGAGCACTTGGGCCAGCGCCAGCTGTGGGCTGGGAAGGGTCTGGCCCAAGGGCTCCCCTGGTAGATGAAGTCCCCAAAGCACAAGCAGCTGGGGCCTCTAGGGGGCAGCGAGGAGGACGCCTGGGCTGTGGGGGGCCTGGGCAGAGGCGGCTGAGTGACAGCCTCCCTTCTCCCCAGATGGCTGCGATGAGGAGCTGGTGGGGCCCCTGTACGCGCGCTCCCTGGGTGCCTCCTCCTCCTACGGGCTCTTCACCACCGCGCGTTTCGCCCGGCTGCACGGTGAGCCAGGCCACCGCCCTGGGCAGTGGGAACAACGAGGGCCAGGGGCACAGCCTGGGTGGTAAGAGTCCTTGCCGACCCCACAGGCATAAGTGGGTGGTCACCCCGAATCGGGGACCCGAACCCCTGGCTGCAGATCGACTTAATGAAGAAGCACAGGATCCGTGCCGTGGCCACACAGGGCTCCTTTAACTCCTGGGACTGGGTCACACGCTACATGCTGCTCTACGGCGACCGTGTGGACAGCTGGACGCCGTTCTACCAGCAGGGGCACAATGCGGTACTCCCGGGCGGCCTCCCGCGCTCTGGGCCGGGGCGGGGTGTGGCGGGGGTGGTAGGGGTGAGGTGACCATAAAGATGAGTTCAACACAGGACGGTGAAATCCAGGAGTGCTTCCTGGAGGAGGCGCTTTTTGGTTTGCTCTTGGAGGTGCAGAGGATAGTGACTGAGGCCAAGGTGCAGTCTGTGCTGTCCCTGTCCCCGCAGACCTTCTTCGGCAACGTGAACGAGTCGGCGGTGGTGCGCCACGACCTGCACTTCCACTTCACAGCGCGCTACGTGCGCATCGTGCCCCTGGCCTGGAACCCACGCGGCAAGATCGGCCTGAGGCTCGGCCTCTACGGCTGCCCATACAGTAAGACACAGGGGGCGGGGACCCGGGAGGCCCCTCCCACGGGCCGGCCCACCGCTTGTCCTCTGACCCCGCAGAGTCCGATGTCCTTTACTTCGATGGTGACGATGCCATCTCCTACCGTTTCCCACGGGGCGTCAGCCGAAGCCTGTGGGACGTGATCGCGTTCAGCTTCAAGACGGAGGAGAAGGATGGGCTCCTGCTGCACTCAGAGGGCGCCCAGGGCGACTATGTGACGCTGGAGCTGCAGGGCGCCCACCTGCTGCTCCACATGAGCCTGGGTGAGGGTTGCGTCCCCCTGCCCCCCCCACTTCCCCGCCGCTAGCCTGCCGCCAGGGCCCTCCTGGCTGGCGCTTTCGCTTCCTGTTTGGGTTTTTCTGGGGATTTCTGCAGACGGTCTCACTCTGCAGCTCAGGCTGGTCTCGAACCCTCAGCCTGCCTGCGTTGCCGCTCCGGGTTCAGTAACTTTCCACAACAGCTCTGTGTGGTTCACAGCTGGCACAGGGGCGTCCTCTGGCTGCCCTGCTGTGTGCCTGCGGGACACCTTGGCCCTCCCACCCAGTCTTATGTGGTCCTCCCACCCCCAGGCAGCAGCCCCATCCAGCCAAGGCCCGGCCACACCACGGTGAGTGCAGGCGGCGTCCTCAACGACCAGCACTGGCACTACGTGCGCCTGGACCGCTATGGGCGCGAGGCCAACCTCACCTTGGACGGCTACGCACAACACTTCCTGCTCAATGGTGACTTTGAGAGACTGAACCTGGACACGGAGGTGGGTGCAGCCACTCTCCCCAGCCCCCCCACCCCCCCAGGGCTCACCAACAGGGCCGGGCTTTCTGGCCCTGTTACCAGCTTGCCCGTGCTTTGGCCCCACCCAGAAACATGCAGCTGGGGATGAGAAGTCTACTTTTGGGGACAGGTGTCCTCTTGGCGCCTCCCCCAGTCCTATGGAACTGATAGAGGCCCTGGCTCCCTATGCAGACTCAGACTGGTACACAGGTTGTTGACTGCCCAAGGCTCACACAGCCGGGTGGGTTCCAGGTCAAGCCCAGGGCTAAGCCCAGGAAAAAGTGAGTTTGGAGATTTCCCTGCTTACTGTGCAATCACACCCTGCAGATGTTCATCGGGGGGCTGGTGGGTGCTGCACAGAAGAACCTGGCCTACCGGCACAACTTCCGTGGCTGCATCGAGAACATCATCTTCAACCGGGTCAACATCGCTGACTTGGCCGTGCGGCGTCACCACCGGATTACCTTCGAGGCCAGTGGGCAGCCGGGAGGTGGAGCTTAGGGGGGAGGCAGCTGATGGCTTGTGGGGGCAGGGCTGTGCACCCCTGAAGGCCATGGTCGGTCCTGTGTCCTCCTTGGTTGGTGAACTGGGGTGAGGATGGGGGACCAAGGCACAAGGCAGGACCTTGAACCTGGGGCCTTTGCTTGGACACTGAGTTCATGCCCATGCATGGGGCTAAGGGCATTGTGGACCAGTGGTGGACAACAAGTGAGGGACCTCCCAGGTTGCCTGGGAGTTAAGACAGATGGGCTAGGTAGCCTAGACCAGCCTCCTACTCAAGGTGATTCTCCTGCCTCAGCCTCCAGAGTGCTGACCTGATAGTTGTGTGCCACCATGCAGGGATGACCCCTCCTGCTGGGCACCTGCAGGGTGAAGGGTCAGGGCTGAAGGATCCCTGTGCTGGCTGTGCTGAGAGTTTCCACTTTCTCTGCAGGGCAAGGTGGCCTTCCGGTGCCTAGACCCAGTTCCACACCCTATCAACTTCGGGGGGCCGCACAACTTCATCCAGGTCCCCGGCTTTCCACGCCGCGGCCGCCTGGCCGTGTCCTTCCGCTTCCGCACCTGGGACCTCACGGGGCTGCTGCTGTACTCGAGCCTGGGTGATGGGTTGGGCCACGTGGAGTTGATGCTGAGCGAGGGCCAGGTCAACGTGTCCATTGCGCAGACTGGCCGCAAGCGCCTGCAGTTCGCGGCTGGTGAGGCAGCTGGGGGGCTGAGGGCCTGGCCCGAGGCCTCTGCCCCCTGGATCTGACCAGACCCTGGCCCTCCTGCCCAGGGTACCGCCTGAATGACGGCTTTTGGCATGAGGTGAATTTTGTGGCCCAGGAGAACCACGCAGTCATCAGCATCGACGACGTGGAGGGGGCAGAAGTTCGAGTCTCCTACCCACTGCTCATTCGCACAGGGACCTCGTACTTTTTTGGGGGTACGAGAGACCCCTCAGGGTGGGGGCATGGATGCCTAGAGGTTTCTGTGGGACTGAGCCTGCTCATGCCTGGGCCCTCAGGGCGGAGAGGGCCTGCTTGGGGCCTCCACTTCCAGTCTGGCTCCCTCTCTGCTGCCTGGCTGGCTCCTGGGAGGGAGACTCTCTGGGTCCCTCGGAGGCCTCATGGGGCGGTCACTGCAGGTTGCCCCAAGCCAGCTAGCCAGTGGGGCTGCCACTCCAACCAGACGGCCTTCCACGGCTGCATGGAGCTGCTCAAGGTGGACGGCCAGCTGGTCAACCTCACACTGGTAGAGTTCCGTCGGCTGGGATACTACGCTGAGGTCCTGTTCGACACCTGTGGCATCACTGACAGGTACAACGAGCCTGTGCCCTGGCAAATGGTGGCCCCTGACGCCCTCTGCCAGGCCCTTCCCTCCCTGCCCACCCGGGAAGATTTCTCCTTCCTGAGCCCACCTCCACAGCCTCCGCATAAGTGATGCACGCTGCACCCAAGCACCGAACCTGCTTTTGCTGCTGCAGGGGTTTCCTCAACAAAGGAGCGGGTGGAGTAAGAACCTTCCTGCCTTTCGTAGGGACAGGGACCAGCAGGATTTGAACCCTGTGTGTCCAGTGCCCCTGCTCTGGCTGGCAAGGCAGGGAGTGTGTCACCAGGTCCTGGTGTGCCAGGGACTTGGAA